ACTGTGTCTTTAAGTGTGCTAATAGTCTACTTCTAAAAAACAAATGAAAAATGCAATACAGAATTTATATTCCAATATATACAGATCCAAGCCTTTGTATAGTAAGGTAACATTTGTCCAAGCTTGCTAGTAAAGCTTGTCAACCATATAGTTCCTTTTCTTCTGCCAGCAGACATGATCATGATAAACAATTTGATACTGGATATCGAAGATGCAATCTGTAATTGAAAACAATGACCTTCCATCTGCACTCCCGCTACTGCATGCGACTACCAATAATAGATGTTGAGAGATAGAGAATGAAGGAGCACTGTACAGTGTGCAGAGGACTACCTGTTAAAGACAAGCACGGCAGGGCTGTTATCCCCCATATGATCTCACATAACATAACCTAATAAATTATGAACTACACAAGATCTCACTGTGTTATGTGTGCACTGCGGTGCAGGTGATTCTGATATGTGGAGGTGGGCTCTAAGGAACCACCCAGAATACTCTAGCAAAGCCATATCAACCACCCATGATACCCTAGCAACTGTGCAGCAACATGCTACCACTGAGAACACTTTAGCAATCGCATGACAATGTCTTGGCAACCAATCACAACACCTTAGCTTCATGGTGATGAGCTGTGCATGTGCAAAAACAGAAGCCATATACTTGTACTTTCCTACACTATTCCAACATCACAATTTGGCAACTTGTGTATCATGTAGAATTCTGAGTTTCCCAATTTGCTTGGTCATTCATGTGTCCTCGGAACTCATAATTACGATATTTCCATCTCCACTTGAAGAGCACATTAGTCTCAAGTCATAGTTACAATTTGAACTGTCAAGTCACAGCAATTTGTGTTTGTGATAATTCCAGTAGCCTGTGAAGTACGCATAATTTTGATACCCGAGTTACAGAGTTGGGAAAAGCCTTAATCTTTCAACATGGCAGAAAAGAGTTGAACACTTTAGCTATTGCATTGCAATGCACTGCATGGCAACCACTCAAAACACCACAGCTCATATGTTTTATCTGAAAAAATCGAAAAGCTAAATACAAAAATTCTAACTCGCACTTACATTTTTTCCTCACCATTATGTTACTTTTTCCAAATGATGCCTTTATGTGTGGTAGAGTTATCGTAAATATGAATTGACAATTTGGAAACTACACATTCGTGCTCACTAATACTATAATTATGAATGGGAATGTTGGACATGCCAGTCATGCTTGTCAAAAGATCGTATTTGTCCCTTCTCAAGTTATAATTATGTGTACGCTACGTTTGAATGCTTTGTGGTTGGAGAGAACAAAACATGGTGAATGATGTTTCATTCATGATAATGTTTCATTCATGATAATGAATTTTATCTCCAATACATGGGTCAAAGACAAATAAAGAAATTAATTAATTAATTAATACAGATTTATTTTTTCCTGTACATTAGAATGTGTTCTGTTTAAACAAAAAAACTATAAAAATGTAATACAGCTTAATGTGTCCCCTTAATGTGTTCTGTTTACCAATAGTTCATATACCAAAAAAATTGTCAGGTATATTCAGAACAAGAATCATTAGATTCTTAGATTAGATCTGTTAAGCTGAATGGCGATGAAATATTAATTCACCCATATTTTGACATATTTTGTATAAAATAACTTTTATAAATTAATTTGATGCGGACACCAAAAATGGGACATCTTGTCTTTGACAAGATACACACATTATGCAACATGGTTAAATGGTTACAGACATATGTATCTGACAGAAACAGCATCAACTAACAAGGAAGCTTTACTTCGAAAAATAAATAAATAATAATAATTATCTACCATTCCCAACTGAAATGGTTCTCTTCTCCACCACGTTGAAAAGGTATGGGTTAAACTTCAGGGGTAGGCAAGTTCGGTCCTAGAGAGCCACAGTCCTGCGGAGTTCAGCTCCAACCCTAATCAAACACACCTGAACAAGCTAATAAATTTCTTCAGGATTACTAAGGCTATAGGCAGGTGAGTTTTTTTTTCAGGGTTGGAGCTGAACTCTGCAGGACTGCGGCTCTCTAGGACCGACCTTGCCTACCCCTGGGTTAAACGAACATG